ATAATCTACATCTTTAATTTATTATAGTCTACCTTCAAATGATAGTATACCACTTCACATGTAGCATAAGAACATCAAAATAGTTTATCTCCAATTCCCACCCACCCGCCCACTCTTGGCCTTATGCTATTATTGTCACACACTTTATTTTTCTCATACATTTAAGAGTTATGTCAGTCATTTAGATGTTATAAATCCCCATAATATATAATGCCATTATTTTATTTAAACAGTCAATTATCTCTAAAGACATTTAAATAAGGAGAATAAAGATTCATCTATTTACCCACATAGTTACCATTTGTAGCCTTCTTCATGCCTCTGGGTAGAGCCAGATTGCCATCTGGTGCCCCCTTCCTTCTTTCTGAAGGGCTTCCTTTAACATTTCTTATAATAAAGATTTAATGGTGATTAATTCTTTCAGCTTTTGTGTGCCTGATACGACTTTACTTTTATTTTACTTTTGAAAGATATTTTTGCTGGATATCAAATTCTAGGTTGATCTGCTGAGAAACTTGCCATCGTTCTTATTTTTGTCCCTCAAGTGATAGGCAGAATAATTGCCCCTGAAAAATATCTACATCCCAATTTCTGGAACCTGAGCGTATTTTAGATTACATGACAAAGGAGAATGAAGGTTGCAGATGGGATTATGTTTGGCAATCTGCTGACCTTAAAATAGGGAGATTACCTGGAATTTTGGTGTGGGCACAATGTAATTTTAAGGGTTCTTAAAAGTGGAAGAAGGAGGCAGAAGAAAAGTCAGTCAGAAGAATATGTTACTATGGAAGAAAGGCACAGAGAGATGCTTTAAAGTTGGAGGAAGCCCAGCCGGTGTGGCTCAGTGGTTGAGTGTTGACCCATGCATCAAGAGGGTGCCAGTTTGATTCCTGGTTGGGGCACATGCCCAGGTTGTGGGCCTGATCCCCAGTGGGGGGCATGCGAGAGGCAGCCAACTGATGTTTTCTTTCATCGAATTTTCTATTTCTCCCCCTCTAAAATAAATTTAAAAGTAATAATAAAGTTGGAGGAAGTGTGCATAATCCCAGGAATGGAATATGGGGGCCTCTAGAAGCTAGAAAGGGCAAGGAAATGGACCCTCCCCTTGAACCTCCAGAAAGGAGCACAGCCCTACCTACACCTTGAGTTCAACCCAGTGAAACTCATTTGGACTTCTGAGCCTCTATGCTTGTGGTGGTTAATTACAACAGCAACACATATAACAAGTGTTTTTCTCTGGCTGCTTTTAAGAATTTCCCTTTATCACTGGTTTTGAGCAAATTGATTATGCTGTACCTCAGTGTAGTTTTCTTAGTGTTTCTTGTGCTTGGAGTTCATTGAGCTTCTTGGATCTGTTTCAAGTTTAGAAAACATTTAGTTATTATTTCTTAAAATATTTTTTGTCTCCTCCGTTTAGGGATTCCAATGACAATATATTGACTGCTTTAAGTTGTCCCACCAATCACTGATTCTTCATTGTTCTGTAAAAGTTATTTTTTCTCTCGTTTCATTTTAGATAGTTTTTATTGATATATATTCAAGTTCAATTGTCCTTCCTTCTATACTGTCTTTCTGTTATTAATCCCATTCACTGTATTTTTCATCTCAAATATTATAGCTTTCATCTCTAAAAGTTTGATTTGGGTCTTTCAAAATATCTTGTAAATCTCTACTTTTTCCTCTTTAATTTTAGCCTATATGAAATACAATAGTAATAATAACTGTTGTAATGTCCCTCTCTGCTGATTCTAACATTGATGTTTATTCTGGGCTGGATTAGATTGATTGATTCTTCTCCTTATAGATCATGTTTTTTTTTTTGTTTGTTTGGTTGGTTTTTGCATTCCTGGTAATCTTTGATTGTGACTGTTACCTTGTTGGGTACTAGATATTTTTACATTCCTATAAATCTTCTCAAATTTTGTTCCGGGATGCAGCTCAGTTACTTAGACACAGTTTGATCCTGTCAGGTCACTTCTTTCTGATGTTAGGTGAGACAGAGCAGTGCTGGGAGCTTCTTATTTCTCTCTATTAAAGTAAGACCGTCCTGAGCACTTACCCAATGCCCTAGGAGTTATGAGTGTTTAGGCTTTTTATAAATTAGTTTTTCAAGTTTGACTGGTGACAACAGTCCTATGTGAACACCAGGCATTATTCTCTGTAATCCTTTTAGACAGCTCTTTACTGGCCTTTGACAGTTTTTTCACATGCATGTGTAGACCAGACCTCTGCTGAATACTTTTGGGCTGGGGTGGGGGGGGGTACCCTTTGCAGGTCTCCAGGGTTCTTGCTTTGTGAAGCTCTCTTCCTTTTGGTATTCTCTGTCCTCATAATTCTAACTGCATGGATCTCCCCAGACTCAGCTCATTCTGCTCAACTCAGAGAATCCACACAGCTTGACCACGATTCCCCATCCTGGTGCCACAACCTGGAAACTGTCTGAAGGCAATAAACCGGGGCAACCCTAGGGGTCGGCTCTTTTGTTTCCCTCTGTCATAGATCACTATTCTTTATTGCCTGATATCCATCCAATTTTTTAAAAAACATTGTTTTGGCCCTGGCCGGTTTGGCTCAGCGGTTAGAGCGTCGGCCTGCGGTCCGGAGAGACCCGGGTTCGGTTCCCGCTAAGGGCACGTACTTCGGTTGCAGTTTGTCTCCGGCCCTGGTTGGTCGTGCGGGTGGCAGCCACTCGATGTGTCCCTTCACGTCGATGTTTCTCTCTCTCTCTCCCTTCCTCTCTCTCCCTCCCTCTCTATCTGTACAAAAAATGGAAAAATATCCTCGGGTGAGGATAAAAAAACAACAAAAACAAACAAACAAAAAAAAACATTGTTTTGAACAGTGGGACAGGGATTCCAAAATGGCAGCAGAGTGAATGGAAGCTACACAGACCATCTCCCAGGCCCAAACTGGAATTACAACTAAAACACAGACAAATCGATGGGAAAAAGCAACAGAAAAGCAGCTTGCGAGGATCATATAACCAGGGACACTGACACAATCCTGGTAGGATTGCGGAGGCGTGAGAGGAGGGCTGGGAGCCCACAGACAGCAGCAGCCTTAGCTGTGAGCAGCGCCCTCGGGTTAAACTCCCAAGTGGCTCCACAGCGCAGAGTGGGGACAGACGCTAAAATAACCACAGTCGCTCACCTTGGGCTCCAGCAGAGGGAGGGTGGACTAGACTGGAACTGTGTGGGGACACTCAGGATTCTGAGGCAGCTCAGAGCTTTTGCTGAGTTCCAGCCACGCAGGATTGTGACCAAGTAGGTGGGATCACAATACCAGATATCAGGTTGTACTACAAAGTGACAGTAATCAAAACAGCCTGGTACTGGCACAAGAACAGGCATATAGACCAGTGGAACAGAAATGAGAACCCAAAAATGGACCCAAGGCAATATGCTCAATCAATATTTGACGAAGGTGGCAAGAGCATACAGTGGAGTAAAGACAGCCTCTTTAATAAATGGTGTTGGGAAAATTGGACAGCTACATGCAAAAAAATGAAACTAGACCATCAACTTACACCTTACACAAAAATAAACTCAAAATAGATAAAATAAAATAAAAAACATTGTTTCATATAATTTTTTTTTTTTTTTTCTGGTAATAGGGTAAATAATATTTATGTTTCTTCATCTTGACTGGACTATTGCCTGTCTTTGGGTTTATTAATTCTATCTTCTGTTAAGTCCCATCTTCAGTTAAACCTATCCAGTAAGGTGTTTCTTTAAAAAAAAAAAAATTTTTTTTTTCTTTATTGATTTTAGAGAGAGGAAGGGAGAGGGAGAGAGAGAGATAGCAACATCAATGAGAGAGAATATCAATTGACCGCCTCCTGCATGCCCCCCACTGGGGATTTGGCCCACCACCTGGGCAAGTGCCCTGACCAAGAATCGAACTGGCAACCTCTTAGTGCATGGGTTGATGCTCAACCACTGAGCCACACCAGCCAGGCAAGGTGTTTTTTTTTTTTTAATAGACTATTTTTAGGTTTACAGAGAAATTGAACAGAAAGTACAGAGAGTTCCCATATATACTTCCCCTGTGGCATACGCACCTATATGCCTCCTGCCCTGACCATGCCCACCCTCCCCTGCTATGAGCATCCTGTACCACAGGGCACCCTGGCCTTGCTCAGCCATTCATCAGGAGCTTCCCCGGGAGAGGGCTTGAAACTGAGGCAACCCTGAGAGACTGGATAGCTGGAGGCTGCACATAACATCCTTTCATGAAAGGGGATCTGAACTTGGACACATCTCACATCTGCCATGTGGAGCACATTTTTCATGTGGCTGAGACAGGGCACAGGGAGCAAGTCCAAATGCACAAGCACATTCCCAGCCCCTGCTTACATTGTCTGCTAACACCCGATTGGCTGGAGCAAGTCATGTGGGCCAGCCCAACATGAAGGGGCCTGGGAGTCCCAGCTGCCCACAAGGAGGCCATGAAAGGGTGGGTATGCTACAGGGGAGTGAAGAATTGGCACCAATAATTAGATCCACAGAGGATAATGGCCCTTTGTAATCTCTGGCCACACTAGTTACTATTATTAGTACCTATCCAAGAGACCAGGTACCACAGACAACTCTCAGGAAGGACAATCACTTGAAAACCAGAAGTCAGATTTGGTACCTGGAAGTCAGAACTGCAGCTTCCAGAAAGGCCAGAGCACAAAGAAAGCAGCATGCCCTCCACCCAGAGCCCCTGCATGGTGGCTCCAGGACCAGCCAGGCTGCTGGGCGCACCTCCGCCTGGTGGATCAATAATAATTCGGGGTTCTGGGAGTGTGTGTGGGGGATGCCATCTGAGTAACTCAGATGCACTGAATGTGATGAGTGCCGGCGGCTTCCTGAGTCCTTGGGGGAAGCGCAGGCACCATCCACTTAGCCCTGGAGCCTGGCTATTCCCGGAGACTCTCCACCCCTCCTCTTTCTCTTGGCGGGGCCTGGGTGCTGCCTCTTCCACCAGTACCTCCTGTCCTGTGAGCTCCTGGGAGGATGGAGGCTGAGGGGCCGCCCCAGGCCAGGAGGTGCTACCAGGAGGCGCTGGGGAAACTCTTCCCTCGCCTCTGCTTCCTCTGCTCCTTGGTGACCTACGCGCTGGTGGGTGCCCTGCTCTTCTCGGCCATCGAGGGTGGCCAGGACCGGGGGGCAGGGGACCCAGAGTTCGAGGATTTCTTGGAGGATCTCTGTGGCGTCTTGAAATGCAACAGAACTGGTAGGTGGCTCACCTGGGCAGGGCGGACCTTTTCTCCAGGGGTGGAGGCAACTCCCAGAGAGCAGAGGGCTCCCTTGCAGGAGGCTGGGGCTGGGAACCCTCTGCGTGTAGCCTCCTCATTCCTGGGCAAGCTTAGGCCTGTGGCTTCTCCCCTCTGAGCCTCAGTTTTCTCCTCTGTACACAGGCAGGTTAATGGCCTCCCAGGGTTGCTGTGAAGAATGTTAAAAGAGCACTGAGCACCCAGGAGCTGCTCTGGAAGGACCAGCTCCCTCTCTGTCTCAGCCCCCAGCCCCACACAGACCAGCAGGCTCTGGGGAGGGTGGATCGCTACAGATATGGTGAGGTGGGGGGATGGGTGAATGAAGCCTGGGCTAGGAGTACCTAGGCTGATCCTCAGAGCTATGCTGCCTCGTCCCATGATTCAGTCTCCAGGGATTAGAACTCAAGGAACAATCCAAATTGGGCTTGGACACACCCCTCCCCCAGATGGCAGCCTGCCCCTTAGCTGGACTCGGGATGGGGGAGGGATTGTAAGAAGACCTTGAGCCTGGTCCTCGCCCCTGTCGCTCTCCAGCTTGCTGTGTGATCCCAGGCAGACTCCTTGCCCTCTCTGGGTCTAGTGTGCTAGACACAATCCCAGGGACCCTGTGGGAAGCAGATGAGGTCCTAAACACGAAGCCTCTTGGAAGGTACAGGCACTTGATGTGTGTCCCTGCTGGATTTCATTTGTAGTTAGTCCTTTCAGCTGGGGCTGGCTAGAGGCTGGCCCCAGGCGGCAGGGTCTCTCCTCCACCTTCTCTCTGTACCAGACAGACACACGCCTGCTCAGCCAGCCTGGGAGACGAATTCTGCCGTCGCCGCTGCTCAGACACTCTGAGCCGCCCCTGGGTCTAGACTGTCAGCAAGTTCAGGGCTTTTCAAACCTGGCCATGTGTCAGAATCGTCCAGGGAGCTGGTCTGAAATATACATCCCCAGGCTCCTCCCCAAAACGACTTGATCATCACCTCTGTGTTGGAATCCTATTGTTAAGAAGTCTCCGGGGTGATTCTGAGGCGCAGAGTGTTGTGGGAACACGGAGCTGGTCCCACCCCATTCTGTGGTGGTATTCAATGGATATTAGAGTGTTCAGTGAGGAGGGTGAGGTTCAGACCCCTTGCTAAATGCTGTCCATGCATTAGCGCACTTAATCCTTACACCGATTCTAGGAGGTATGAACTGTCCCCCTTCTACAGATAAAGAAACTGAGGCACTGAGAGTTAAGAAGCTTGCCCAAAGTCACACGCTAGAAAACGGAGCCAGGGATTCCACCCCAGGCATTTGGAGCCAGAGCTTTTCAGCACCATGTCATTCCTGGTGGGGAAACTGAGGCTGGAGAAAGAAGCTTCCTGTCCACAGCGACAGGAACTGGACAGGGTCGGAGCTAGGTCTAGAATGCAGGTGTCTGGACTCCCAGGCTGGTGCCCATTCAGATAAGTAGTGACTTTCTGCTGTGTGCCAGGCTCTGGGACATCCTCTTACCACTATACCAGAGTCGGGCTTCTAGGGGCCCCAAACCTGCTGGCTGCCAGCCCAAAGGAACGAGCTGAAAACATCCCCGAGAAACCAGGGCTCCCAAACCTGCTCCTCCATGCATCCCAGACATCCTCGGGTGGCTGGTGCCCACAATCCCAGTACGATCACCAAACGCCATTCCCTTCATGACCCAGGAGGGGGTGAGGGGTGCCGCCACGTAACAGCTTGCATTGCATAAAAAGCCTTTTGCTTTCAGTTTACAAGAACCCTGTGAGAGAGACGGAGCAGAAGTGCGCATGCCCCTTTGCAAGGGAGCAGAAATGGAGGCTCAAACAGTTCCGAGGGCTCTCTCAGGCTGCACAGCCACCCCTGCTGAGCTCAGGCCGGTCCCCAGGGCCTCGCCCCGGCTGCTCCCAGGGGCAGGACCTCACTGCACAGACCCGGAAAAGCAGGGCTCTGGGAGACAAGTTTTGGTGTTGATGGGGCCACAAGGCAGGGGACCTGCTGGTCCCTGGGTGGGACCTGTTTGAAGGGCAGAGCCTCTCCCTCACTCTGGTCATCTCTTTCTTGAGTCATGGAGGACAGGAAACTGGACCTCAGGAGGCTGCTCTCCAGGGTGAAGCCCCAGTGGCTTAGCACGTCCACAGACTGGTCCTTCCTGAGCTCCCTCTTTTTCTGCTGCACAGTGATCAGCACCGTGGGTAAGTTCAAGCGCACGGTTGGGCCCGCAGGAAGACCTCGGGGAGAGGGAGACAGAAGGATGCTGGGGACCCTTGGTGAGGGTGTTGGGATGTTCCAGGCATTTAGTGTGGGGGGCCTACCCTGTGCTAGGCCCACTGTGCACAGGCAGGCACTGGTCCCAGCCCAGGGACACAGCAGTCCCTGCTACTGGGCCAAAGCCTCCTGTGCGGGAATTAGCAGACTGCCCTTTCTTCAGGTGGCTGCAGCCGGTGCCTGGGCATAGACCCCGGTGAGCAGGGTGTGGGCTGGAATCCAGCCTTCTTGCCCCTCAGCTGAATGCTCTTGTACAAACCACCACCTGGCACCTGCACCTGCCAGCCCAGGCCCCTGGGCAAGACGGAAGAACCTGGGACAACCAAGAGGAAGGACTGGCGGTTGAGGCTGCAGTGGCGCCCCCCAGTGGAGACACTCAGCACTGGGGCTCCCAGTGAGGGGCAGAGTGGGAGGTGGATTTCAGGGTCACCAGCGCCCTCAGGTGGTTTCTTTTAGAACTGTTCTCATCTGTCTGAGTGCAAGAGGAACAAGAATAGAGACACGACTGAGCCCTCCCCAGGGCCAGGCATGGTGTCAACGCGCTGCACACGCATGATCTCATTTAATTCTCACGGCGACCTCCCGGTACATGCTGCTGCTGTCCCGCTGAGCAGTGAGCTGGGCCCCGACGGGGAAGCCTGCAGGGAGCCATAGGCAGGGCACAGCTGGCCCTCTCAGGGGACCCACAGCTGGGGGGAACACTTTGAGGGCGCATCAGGTACAGGGAGCAGCAGCTACAAGGAAGATGCTGGAGATGAGCAAGGGGGCTGAAATATGGCGCTTCGTTTGTTTTTCTCTCAAAAACTTCAGGGGATTGAGCTAATGGAGCATTTCTAAGCCTCAGCATTACTGGCCTAGATGATTCTTTGCGGGGGTGGGGGGCTGTTCCGGGCATTGCAGGACATTTGGCAGCATCCCTGGCCCCTATCCACCAGGTGCACTTACCTCTGCCTCTTCCCCCGCTGTACCCACAGGTTGCCCCCTGTTGAGGCCCACTGAACTAATGCAGTGGTCATTAAAATGTGGTCCCTGGACCAGTAGCCTGCGCATCACCCCAAAACACGTTAGAAACACAAGTTAATGCTCAGGCCCCACCCTAGACCTTCTGAGTCAGAAACCATGTCTTCGGTGCCCAGCAATCTGTGCTTTAACAAGTTCTCTAGGTGAGTCCCGTGCACAGCAGCGCGGAAGCATTGACCTGATGCAAGTGTTCTCAGCCCTGGCTACGCGTTAGTCAGCTGGACCCTGCCCCACGCCGATCAGGCCAGGATCTCCAGGGATGGGCCCAGCATCAGCCTTTTGCAGAACCTTCCAGGTGATTCTAATGGGAGCCCAGTGTGTGAACCACCGGTCTAATGGAAATGCATTTGCTTGGTTTAAATCCCAAGGAAGTGATGCTCTTACCCATGGTTTAAGCCATTTAGGACATCAGGCCATCCAGTGACTATAACCAGAAGAGGAGGTTGGGGAAAGTTCTGCACGGCTCATAATCAATAATGGCATTTGAAGGTCCTCTGGCATTACTGCTTCCTGCCCTGCAACCCTGGGTCACCTGAAGTGCACCTGGCCTTGATGCTGGGAAAGGGACACCTGACAGGTGTGAGGTTGGTCAGTCCCCAGTCATTTCTAGTTGGGTCAGCCCCTTGGATAAAAAGTTAAATGCATGGGCTATTAAATACTCACAGCCTAGGGGGAGTGGACTGATCACAGTGGACTATATAAATGCATTATAAGAAATTATATGATTTTCCCTTATGCAAGTCAGCATTCAGTCATTGGGACGATACAGTCCCTGCGTTGGGGCTGGGGGCTCTCTGAGGCTTGCTTCCTTGATGGATTTTCTGTAATGTGGCAAATGTTCTGGATTGTAAATATATCCCACCCAGGGCAGCCACAGAGATCTTATATTGGCTAAGCCTACCTTTGAGGAGAGCACTGTGCGTGGGGGGAGATCTTCTGGGGAGGGTACACACCCTTGTGGGCTGTGTGACCTTGGGCAGGTCCTCTGACTTCCCTGTTCCTTGTCCGTTCAATGTGGTAATAATGGTGTTTGCCAGCTTTAGGGGTTTTACTATGCAAGAGATTTTGACTCCGAAAGGCACTTTATAAATCCCATAAGAAATGTGACATTCTTTTCTTAAAAAACAAATCTGACCCTGGGTGCCCATACTTGGGGGTGGGGTGTTTTTACTGGAAAGCATCTCCTGGCTTGCTATGGGATGCATGACAACTGGGGGCTCATGTACTGTCTGGAAAACAGGGTGGCCCCTGTCTATGGGTCCCCGTAGCTGCTGTCAGCGTCCTTAAGGGCTGATGGCTCTGTGGAGCCCATGCCAAGCTGGGCATGGGGATCTTTGCTGGCACCCAGGCTTGGGCTCCTTCGGCATATCATGGCCTCTTTGAGCTCCTGCCCCTGCAGGAGAGGCTCAGCTCCCTGCTCCCTGCTCGTCCCTGCTCAGGAGAGCTCCGCACCCTCCCTCTGGCTGGCCAACTGCCTCCTTTGCCCAGGGCTGCCCTGGTTTTAGCACCCGAAGCCCCATGTCCTGGGATACCCCTCAGTCCTGAGCAAACTGGGCAGTCGGTCTTTCTACCCACGGTGCACTCTGCCCCTGCCCTCTTCCCCCTGGGATGCTGTCCCCACCCTGGTCTCCTCAGTGTTCTGGGCTCCACCGAAGCCTGGATGAGAGGCTGTCCTGAGGCCGGTTCTGGAGTCTCCTGTCCCTGAGGGGAGGGCGGGAGCATCAGGAAACAGAGAAGGGAAGAGAGGGTTTCCACTGAAACCCTTGGCACTGCCCCATGGGACAAACCTGGGGTCCTGATGGGAGGTTAGCCAGTGTGGTCCCCGCTCGTGACCCCGCAGCATATGCCTGATGGGTCCTCGCATGTCCTGCTGGGATGGAGGAGAGCCCAGCTCAGGGCCAAGCTTCCCCTTCACCTAGGAGCTCCCAGAGGGCATGACCGTTGCCTGTTCCTTGTGTACCCCCAGCCCTGGGCACAAGAACCTGGCATATAGCAGGTGCTCAATAAGTGTGAAATGCAGGCTGGTGCCTTTATTCTAATCACTCATCCAGCAGTCACCTGCTCTTTTACATCCCGTCCTTGATCACCACCTGTAATTCCACACTCGCTGAGCGGGATGTGGAATCTGACTCATCTCTGCCTCCTCCATAAACCAGAGGCGCAGCGGGGTTGGATCTCATTTCCTTTGCTCGCCACGTGTCCCCGGCACCAGCGTCAGCACTCCGTGTGCACATACAGCACGAAGACACACAGTGTCAGCCGCCCTGTCCGCACACGGTGCCGCGGGAACCAGCCAGGGTGGCGTGGAGTGCCCTGCGTGGTGCAGACCGAGGAGACCTCTCCAGGACCACTGCCCTCTCCCAGGCCCCTGGTGCAGTGGGCATCCTGATCACTTCTGGAGGGCAGAGCCTAGGCCGGAGTGTGCCAAGGGGCTGCAGCCCTGGAGGAGCTGGGGCTCAGCCGGCCTAGCTTTCCAGGACTGGGCTGGGTTTTCTGTCTTAATCACCCTCTATGGCATCAAACATTAAACACAGGCTTTCCCTCTGCTTGTTGGAGTCGCTGAGCTTGCCCAGCCAGACGACCCAACTACCTGCGCGGGGGGCGTGGACGGCTCCTGGCTCCTGCCCTGCTGTAGACAGGAGGGTGGGGTGAGGGTGGCGAAGAAAGGGCGCTCTGGGAGCATGGAGGCCTTGCGCACCCATCCCTTTGCTTGGATGACCTGTTCTCATTGGCTGGAAGGTTTCGCCCCCTTGGTGCTCCTGACCCGGTGGAGATCGAGCCCTGGCTTGGGAGCTGGCAGCCCTGGGGGTTTGACCCCAACTCCACCCTGCCACATGGTGCTCTTGGCCAGGTTGCTGCATGTCTCTGGGCCTCGGTTTCCCCATCTGCGAACGGCGACACCTGCCTCTGAAGGCTGGCTCACACCTGCCCACAGCGGGTGCTCAGTAGGCAGCAGGTATTAGCTCCCGAGGGTGAGGACCCCAGCCTTTATCAGTCGCCCACAGTGTGTCAGGCACTGGGTGGTCCTTCCTGTCGTCAGCAGACAAAGCAGGGACTGTCATCCTCATGCAGATAAGAAACCCAAACATGTGAGCAGTTGAGTAACTGGCTAGTACATGGCAGAGCCGGGATTCGAGCGAGGAGGGCAGCAGTCTAGAAGCTGGGGTCCAACCACTTCCCCCTCGTCTGTGAACATGCTCGTCAGTCCACCGAGCGCCAGTGGTCCTGCAGACACAAGTGTATTTCACTCGCTCCCCCTGCCGCTGTCCTGAGGCTGTGCACACTGTTCCCCACCCCGCGGTCACACAGCAACGGCCTGTTCTCCAGAAACAGCAAACCCAGAGGCCTAGACATCCGGGGGGGGACCAGGGTGGCTTTGGTTGTTGTTGCTGTTGCTGTGGTTTTTTTGTAAGTGCCCCTAGCGGAAACCGAACCCGGGACTCTCTGGTCCGCAGGCCAACACTCCAACCACTGAAAGAAACCGGCCAGGGCTGTTGTTGATAATCCTCACCCGAAGACATTTTTTTCCATTGATTATTTTTTTAGAGAGAGTGGGAGAAAGGGAGGGAGAGAGAGACAGAGAGACATCGATTAATGTGAGAAACACATTGATTAGTTGCTTCTCGCATGAGCCTGACCAGGGCCAAGGATCAAACGTGCAACCCAGGTAGGTGCCCTTGACCGGGAATCTAACCTGTGGCCTTTTGGTGCGCAGGCCAATGCTCTAACCACTGAGCACATGGCCAGGACTAGGGTGGCTTTTTTAAAAAAGTATATGTTTTTATTGATGTTTTTTAGAGAGAGAGAGAAAAACATCGATGTGAGAGAGAAACATCGATTGGCTGCCTCCTGCACACCCCCCACTGAGGACCAAGCCTACAACCCAGGCATGTGCCCTGACCAGGAATCGAACCGGGACCTCTTAGTCTAGGGGACTGATGCTCAATCCACTGAGCCACAGCAGCCAGGCAAGGGTGGCTTCTTAAAAACCCACACCTTCATGGAGGATGAAGGAGGAGGTACGGTTTTTAAAGCCATTCACGCCCTCTTACCTGTGCGTATCCTGTCCTAGGTGAGCTGGCTCCTCTCTCACAGATGCTCAGAAGTGGCCACGGCAGAAAGAGGCCATCAGACACGGGCTTGTCCCCTGCCAGGGACATTTCAGGTCAATGATCAGGACGTGACTTGCTCCGTACCCTAAAGAGAAGCTGGGTGTCATCCCTTATTCCCCCACAAAGCAGGCCTAATGTTGGGCAAATGGATGAATGTTTTAAGATGGACATTTGCAAACACATTGTGTCACCTGTCACGCCCAGGAGGGGAAATGGCAGGTCTCTTTAACGCTTTGGGGGCAGGGGAAAGAGCAGGTGACAGTCCCCGACTGTGTCCTCTTTTTCAGGTTACAGTCATGTCTACCCGGTCACCAGGCTCGGCAAGTACTTGTGCATGCTCTACGCTCTCTTCGGCATCCCCCTGATGGTCCTGGTCCTCGCGGACACGGGCGACATCCTGGCAACCGCCTTGTCTACGTCTTATAATCGGTTCCGAAAACTCTCATTCCTCAGCCCTCCCCTTCCCAGATGGTGCTCCCGACTGCGTGGCAGGAGAAGGCCGGACGCCAAGCCCACGGACCAAGCCATGCCCCAGATCGTCATTACTGCCCAAGAGCCCCCGGACCCTAAACCCGGCAGGGGTCCCGCAGCCCCGAGCAGCAACGTGGAGCTGCTCGAGAGGCTTCTTGCCGGAGAGAAGCAGAACACACTGCACCTGCCCCCGCGGGCCGTGGTGAGGAGCACCTCCTGCCCCGAGCTGGTGTCAGGGACGCTCTCGTGCTCCATCATCAGCAACCTGGACGAGGTGGGCCAGCAGGTGGAGAGGCTGGACGTGCCCCTGCCCGTCATCGCCCTCGTCGTCTTCGCCTACATCTCCTGCGCCGCCGCCGTCCTCCCCACCTGGGAGAAGGCCCTGGACTTCCAGGACGCCTTCTACTTCTGCTTTGTCACGCTCACCACCATCGGGTTTGGGGACACTGTTTTAGAGCACCCTCACTTCTTCTTGTTTTTCTCCCTCTACATCATCATCGGGATGGAGATTATGTGCATTGCTTTCAAGTTGGTGGAGAACAGGCTGATTCACATGTACAAAAATCTCATGCTGTTCTTTACAAAAGAGAAGTTTTCGGACGCTGCTGAAACGTGACGCTCCCTGTCTCTCTCGTGACCTGTGTGGGCTGAGCTGGTTTCCTTGCCTTGTCTTTGGGACAGTCCATTACCACGTGGCCCCGCAGCCTGTCCTCTGAGACCTTGGGCTTGGAGACACGTCTTGGGTGAGGGCTGGTTTTAGTCTCGGCGTCCTGCAGAAATGTAGCCAATGCCCTTCGAATCGCGACATTAGACAAAAATCATCACCAGTCCCTAAAGTTCAATTTATTTCCCTCTCTTCATTTTTAAAACCCATCACCTAATGTAGATGAAACCGCCTTAGGGAAGTCACCAGTTTTCTTGCAACACAAGAACAATATTGCCTTTATTCTTGCACTTTGTACTTTGTGCTAAATTAAAATCGTCCTGGTCCAACTGGTGCGGCTCAGTGGTTGAGCATCGACCCATGCAGCAAGAGGTCGCCGGTTCGATTCCCCGTCAGGACACACGCCCAGGTTGCGGGCCTGATCCCCAGTGGGGGGCATGCAGGAGGCAGTCAATCCATGTTCTCTCTCATTGATGTTTCTATCTCTCTCTCCCTCTCCGTTCCTCTCTTTCTAAAATCAATAAAGGGAAAAACAAAATCTTCCTGAGTTGCTCCTCATGTGCCCTTGATGAAACAGAGCTAGTCTGAGCAGCCTCTTTCCTCAAATGACTTCGTGGACGTGGGCGAGACCAGCCGATTTCAGCCTGAGATACACCAGTACCACTGGGTGGAGCTGTGACTCGTGCTCAAGGGCCTGGGAGATTTCCTGATGGTCAGACTTGGTGCAGATTCGTGTTCTCACTCAGCGGCATGTGACTGGCACCTCCTAAATGAGTTGGCATGTGAAAGCGTTGATGCTTAAGTGAATGGCTTGGTACCCAAAAGGGTTGGCATTCATCAGTACTCATCCTGCGCTGATTCATGAATGAGTTGGCATGTGAGTGAGCTGCTCTGTGCGGTAGATGCTGTAGGTGCCCCGCCCAGCTGCCCTGGTACTCCAGCTCCCTTTGCCTGAGGACTTTCTCTGGCCACTAAAGCATGGGCACTCACAGGGCAGGCCAGAAGCACCAAGGAGTCAAGGCTCCTGGCAGCAGCCCTCGACCAATGACTGATGGCACCCAGCTTCTTACCTCACCCATAGGATAACTCGGTCATGCTCCACACTGTCTCCCGAGTGCCCAGCTGAGACCCTCAGGTGCTAATGAACACACCTTATATTGGCTTCCTTCATCTCTGTCTCATCTGTCCACTCCTCCTGAACTAACCCCGGCATAACCACATGCACACACATCCTTGTCTCAGAGTCGCTCCTGGGGACCCCAGCCTGGGAGAGGGTGTAACAAGTTGGGGTGTGAACTGGCTGGCACACCCACAGAGCAGTACAAGAGTCTTACTATTTCCCTGGTCAGTTATGAGAAATGTCTGATTGGGAAGAATCCGTTTCTTTGAGAGAATCTTGGGGGAAATCAGCCTGCGTCCAGCGATTAGCAAAATGAGTCAGTCCCTAAATAATGAGTTTTGCTCCAGTGTATAGTACAGAACAGAAATTGCAAGAACCAATGAGAAACTCCAGGAGATTCCAATTTGAAAATAAAAGACGCATCTGTTTTCGCAGGTTCTTCAAAGTTCAGTTGAACAGACACAGAGTGCTTGCTTCTTTCCAGAAAGTTCCAGGGGTGATGAATCGCTCAGCAGGTCCCCTCTGGAGGCAGCAGAAAGTCCCATTCAAATGCACACATGGAGTTCATCAGGGTCATGGTCATGGTCATGTTCTACTGGGTAGGTCTGCAGGTCTGAGGCCTTCCTGCTCCCCACTTCTCATCCCTCTGCCCCATGCACCCAAATTCCGCCTCCCGTTTACTTTCATTCCTGTGCAGGAATGTGAATTCACTTGCTCTCAACCTCGGCTGGACACCTCAGGAGCTTCAAGAATTCATGTGCCATTGGGCGCAGAAACACCGCCTCTCCCCGACCCCCAGCGCCTCCTGGACCTTGGGGGACCTAGACCAAAGCCTTTGGTGGAGGCACTGACCCAGCTGTGGGGGTTGTCCTGTCCAGTTGTCCACCAGCCCAGTATGTAGCATTGTTAGCCCCTCCCCCACCTTTTCTTTTTTTTTTTTTTAACAGAAGAAGAAACTGAAGTTCAGGGGATTTAGCTGAAGTTGACAGCTGAAGGGTGGGGAGGTCGAGGATGAAGGGAGTTGTTCGCGGAGGCCCGATCCCCGGGGACCCCAGGGGGCTGGGAGAGGGGAGGACAGCCAGGCGCTGCCAGGTGGGCCTGGGACTCGAAGCTCGTGGGGTGGGGGAGCTGATGGAGGACCAGCTCTCGGGAACAATGGAAGGAACCCTCAGGTGGCCGGACCGTGCTTCTCAGAGTGGCCACCAGGTGGAGCCGCCAGACCGCACGGGCCCCGCGCTCCGGGGCCAGCAGGTGGCGTGTCCGCTGTTCGGCGCCTCCTGGAAGGGACCTCCGGGGGCTGGTATCTCCTGCTCTGGCCCTCTGAGAGGCGACACCTCAGACTTAAGTCCCCACCAGGGTCCTAGAGGAGGAGGCTCCTCGGACCTCTGTCCCCGCCGCGGACACCGGGGAAAGCAGCATCTTGGACCCATGTCCTCCAAGCGGCTTTCCTGAAGGGCGCTTCGGACACTTGTCCTAGCCATGGCTGTCCCCTGCCCTTCAATCCCCTGTCCTGCCAAGCGAAGGTCAGGAAATGTTACCACGTGGGTCCCAGCCACTAGCAGTTGGTGTCTGGTTATTAGTCCCCCGTCACATGGGTCCCTTCCTTCTTTGATCCACCAGCCTCCCTTTCGGGGGGTAGACTGTCTGAAACCTGCCAGAGACACCTAGCAGCTTCTCCATCTACAAGGTACAGGTGCCCTGTCCCACCGAGACATGCTGGGCTGGAGGCTCTGGGTGTGACCCCCAAGAATGGCTGTGGTTTGCTGTTTCTAAAGTCGCCGCCAGGTGATTCTCACCTGTTTGGGTTGAGAATCATGGTCTTAGGGGGGCCAGGGACAGACCGGCTGTGGCAGGAAGGGGTTGAGGGGGCTGTTGAGGACAGACCTGGCTGGAGAACAGTCCTGCTGTGGCCCTGCTCTGCCGAATGACCCAGACACATGGAGGCCTGCTTCTGGGTCTCTCCAGAGGGGAAGGATGGGCTTGGGCAGCCCCCGTGGACCTGATGATCCAGGTTTGGGAGTCCTGCCTGGTCCTGTAAAGAGAGCCTGCTGGTTCGATGGGTGGGGAGTAGCAGGGACCTGGTCCCCCAGGGCGCTGGCGTGTGGGCTGCTGGGTGCATTGCTCTGACCTGGGCCCCTCAGTACTGACCAGGAACGGCCGTGAGGCCTAGTGGTGAAGACCTGTGTTTGTGGAGAGAGGCTACCTTGAATCCTGGCAGTTTTCTTTACCAGTCAACATAAAACCAGTACCTACCTCAAAGGGTTGTTATGGGAAGACAATCCGTGGGAAGTGCTGCCGCCCAGTGCCCAGCCTTGGGCTCTTTAAGAAGCTCTAGCTGGTCCCATTAGTAACCTGGAGTCAGAGATGGCGCATTTCAGCTTCCTCTGGCGCTGCCTTCCTGCCTGTGGCTGGGAAGGGGCAGACTGAGCCTGGACACTGTCAGTGAGCACCCCCCACCCCCGGAGCCGGCTCAATCACGCATGCCCAGGGAGTACGGCCCTTCCCTCCAGGTGGGGCACTTTGGCAGCTAACAGCTAACAGCCCAGCACGTGTGAGATGGGGGGTGGGAAGCATTCTTCCCCAGCTCCCAACTTAGTACCCTGGGGTTCTGTGGCACAACTGTACCCTCCTTCCCCTGCCTGCCTTTGTCACCTCCTCTTGGGTCCCAAACAGCACTTTGCTTCCACCCGAGGCCCTTCCTTTCTTCCGTCTTCGCCCCCTCCCCGTGGTCTCATCCACTCGGGTGGGTATTCACACCATCCCCAGTGCTCCAGACTGAAGGCTGCTCCCCGGCCCTCTCCCTGGCCCGTGCGTGACTGAGCTCCAGCCCCGGCCCCGGGTCCCGCTCCTCTCCCTCCGAGAGCAGCCCAGCCTTCCAGCCGCCCACCCCGAAGGCTGCCCCACTGGGCTCCTCTCTTCTGCTCTGACTTGAGAGGCACGTGTTTGGCTTTGAAGACTTTTCCCAGTCTTGAGTATGCCCCCCAGAGAGTCTGACTGCTCTGGTTTCAGGTGGGGCCCGGCAAGTGTATAGTGTAGAAGCTTCCAGGTGACTCTGGTTGCTAATTCATTCATTTGTTCATTTCCAAGCCATTATTCAACGAGCACTGAGTGCCAGGCACTGGAGGCATCGCCCTTAAGGAGAGCACTTCTGATGCACCTAGCCGATGCTCATGCACACTCTCCGGGCAGAGGTGTCACCAGTAGGGTTGGTGATCCAGGCCCCTCTCCCCCGACAGAGAACCAGTAAGGCAGCTGGATGGCAGGAGCCAGGCTGAGGGGGTTGTCTACCCCCATCCAACTCTCTGGAAGCCAGACACTTGCCATGGCTGGCAGTGGACTGGCCAGGGTCGGAAGGCCTGGGTGGCTGGGCTGTTGCTATGGTGACCGATGTGCATCTGTGCAGCAGGGAACTTTGAAGTTGACTTGGATGTGGACAACAAAGGACACCTTCCTCCCGGATGCAAATTATGGTTTCTTTTCATCCTCCTTAGCCCTTTCCTGCTCTGCTTTTGTTCTTGCCTTTTAGATCAGAGAGTAAAGCCCTTTCTAATGCTATAAATTCAAAACCTAGGCAATTAAGGGGCCTCTCTGAGGTGCAAGCCCCCCTTTAGTCTCTTCCAAAAACAATTGTGTGTGTAGAAAAAGAGATGACTGTGCAAAGGTGGTCAGCATCGCCCGTATGTCTATCCAACAACTACCGTGGTGGGCAGAAGTAGATTTATAGTCATGAGTCCATGAAACAGAGTTAATAAAGCTATTGGAATAACCATGACCTGAATGTCTTTCCATATGAATAATTGTAAACTTACAACTGCCCACCCCTGTGTTCACC